CTTAATATATTCGTCTAGTACCGCTAATTCCTTCTACGATAGTAGGTAAATTAGTATAAATATTAGTTCTTAGCTATCCTTAATCTTAATCTTATAGTTAAATAGACTATACTCTAGTAGCTTACTATCTAATAGCGGCGTAAATATATCCTAGAATTCCTTATATTCCTTAGGAATCCTATATTCTTCCTCTAGTAATCCTATTATATAGAGGGTAGTTACGTCGTCGTTAACGAGAACGTATTCTTTAAGTTCCTTATCCGTTATATCTAGTCGTTATTCCTTATTAACGATATTAGTAATATCGCTTACTCGTTTATTAGGCCTACCTCCTAGCCGAGAACTCCTTTTGTAATTTCCTTCGTAAGGGATCTTATAAGTACCTACTTCCCCGGTGCTAGGTCTCTTTAGCGGTATCGGCTCGATCTTTTTAGTCTATACTTCGCTAGTCTATCGATACGAGTATCTATTAAAGACTATATTCCTAACCTACTAATCGATAGCTAGGTTATACTTCCTTAGCTATAGTACTTCTAGTATAACGTCGTATATATCTAGTAAAGTAATATCGAAGTTAATAACTTCGAAATAGTCTCTAATAACTATTAGTAGTAGTCTACTCTCGTACGTGATACCCGGCCTTAAGCTCTCTCCGTTAAGCCCGATTAAGGGTACTATTTACGGTTTCTCTATACCTTTAATCTTATATTACCGTTTATATCGTAGGCTTATAAAGTTTCCTACCGCTCCTAAGTTAATTATTACTTTAGTTAGTCGAAGCGCGATATTAGCAAAAATCTTTACGTACGCGCCCTATATAGTAGCTACGAGGTATTATTCGTTTATCCTCCGGTTTCCGAACTAGAGTCCCGCGTATTCTAGTTTCTAATTTAGTTTCTTTTCCTAGCGTAGCGGCTTAGGTTCTAGGCTTCTTTCGATTTTTCCTTAGTAATATATTATATAGTTATTATCGTAATACGCTAATACGGTTCTAAGACCGTGATTAGGATAGCGTATATACCCTCTATATAAATATTCGTTACTATAGTAGGGATATTACTATTATTTACGTATCCCGCTACTAATTCCTTAGAGGTTATTAAGTATATTACTAAGCTCTCGTAGTATCTTAATAGATAAGAGATTAGTCTTAATAAGTCCTTATACCTAGTGAATCTAATTTAAATATTTAATAATTAGATCGTCTATAGGGTTCTCTTAAAGCTATTTAGTCGTATCTACTTCCGGGAACTAGGGTAGAGTTTCTAGGATCTCCGGGGTTCCTAGAACCTCGATTAATATCTTTAGGATCTCTATACCTTATTCTTAGGAATCGTCGGATAGTTCCTAGGAGTCGATAGTATTCTAGGGACCGTACTAGGTCTATCCTTAACTCTCGATATTCTCCTCTTCCTTAGGAGATTCTTCCTTCGCGTATATTACGTTATTTAGGCCGCGGTATTCCTTATCTAGCTACGTAGTCGTAATACGTAGTTACTTAACCCTAGGTTCTTTTCTAATTAGTAGTTCCTCTATAGCCTACTTAGTAACCTAGTCCTTTAGGTGCTTATACTTATCTAGAGTTACCCTAGTAATCGTATCCTTTAGGCGCTTAGCCCCTTCTTAGGTAGCCCTAAGTTACTCCTTAGATTTATTATCCTATATTACTATCTATTCCTCGTTATTAGTAGCTCTTAGCTATTAGGGTCGTACCTCGTCGTCCTAAGTCGCCCGTAGCTACTATAGCTTTACGTTATTACGTCCGTTATTACGCTTACGCGCCTATAGTGTTATGATATTTCGATGAGACTATTCACACACTGATATTGGGGCCTCAGGCATGCTTGGACCGAGGGTTCTGCCAAGGCGGTAGCCATCCGGCGGTCAGTCGGTGGCCCCTCGGCCGCGATACGCGACAGCCACGCTGCATGCAGGCCGCACCCACAGTATGTGCCATGCGTTGGCCATGCGGTGGCCTTTCGCCATGGTTTCCCCCTTACTTCGTGTTTGATTCCTGTTTGCACAAAAGATGATGTATTTAAACAGATGCTTGAGGAAGTGGGATTCATCTTCCTCAAGAAACAGTCTTTGTCTCAATCTGACTTGGTGCTTTCCTCTCCTACCTAGTTGACAGGCCATCTACCCTGTAAAGTAGATACTTCCTTAACAGGTATAGGTTATACTACGTATAATTATTATTATTACTTTGCTAATCTACTTTGGCTACTTTAGGATGATACTCCGACCGAAGCTACTTTTTCGTAAGAAGGCTAGGAAGAAGAGATCTTATCGTTTCTATCTATAAATCGGCTTCTATTTTATCTTATTAAGCACCTAACGTTTAAGAGCCTAATTAATATAGCTCGCTCTGCCCTATCTCCTCCTATAATCCCCTCCGTAATAATAATCCGTCGTCGGCTAGAAAGCTTAGTTAAGGATCGGTAATAGCGTATTCTTCGGATGCTTCCTATGTTACGGGCCTCAAAGAGGCGCGGGGGCCGTAGCTATTTAAGTAGTAACCGTGAGCCAATCATTCCACGGACGCTAAGGATTAGCGTCGTTACGTGCGTTTCGGTATACTTAGGTAGGCCCCGGGGGGCACTAAGCAGAAGGGTTTAGGGTAGAAGCCAGAATCGGCCTACGGCTAACCGTTATAATCAATACCCGCTTACTCTATAGGACGGTTAGCGCGAAGTAGGAAACGGCCGCTCTCTTACCCGCACCTAGATTACACCCTAAATATAAGAATATAGTAAACCACGTGACCACATCCTATTAGCGATAGGATAGACTCATTAGCGATAAGTCCTATCGCATTAGTGATAAGTCCCGACTTATTAGTAATAGGAAGGACTAGATATATAAGGACACTTATTTAGTATTATATATTTAGTTCTTCGCGATTAATTATATATTATTACTTAGTTACTATCTTTAGTACTTTGCACTTTATAGTTTACCTTTAAGATAACCTAACCTATAAGTAGGGGATTCACTTAGTAGTAATACTTAGTGATTAACTTACTTAGCGCGTACTTCTAGCACGTTCTGTAAGATACTTAATAGGATCTACTCCGTAGTAAGGCCTTACGAGGTAACGGTACGATTAAGAGATACTCTTAGAATTCGAAGTTATACCGAAAGGGCCGGAATCAGCCGTAACGGTATATATCGTTATTATACCGTATTATAACGATAACTTAGGTAACTATTGCCCTTTTTGCACTTACTTATAGTGACTAGTCGGCTACGCGTAATATATTAATTACCCTATCTTCGAACCGTAAAGTATAGTTATTATAGTATCTTAGGTAGTAAGAGGAAAGTATCCCTCGTCTACTAGTCGTAGAGAGGACGACTAGGAAGACGAGAAGGAAAAATAGATCTAGGAGCTCTAGCGACTCGTGGAAAAGCTTAAGAATAATCTAGATAGGCTAAGTACTAGCTATAACGATAATACTAATAAGGTAAAGGACTACTTAGAGTAGCTCTATACTTAAGTCGTCGCTTCCGTACCGGTATCCTCTATCGGAGTACCGAAACTCTTAAAGGCTAAGACCTTTAACGGTACTCGAAGTAAACTACGAGGATTCCTTACGTAAATAGATATCTACCTCGACGTTAACTCCTAACGACTTACTAATAAAGGGAGTAAGGTTATCTTTATATCGGCCTACCTTAGAGGGTAGGTATAGGACTAGCTCGAACCCTTTATTCGAGAATATTACGAAAAAGTTAGTACCGAATAGTCTATCACTACCTAAGCTATCTTTAGTAACTACGCTACGTTCCGATAGTACCTAGAGCGTACCTTCGGTAATATTAACGCTAAAAAGATAGTAGAAAGGAAGCTAAAGCGTCTTCGATAGACCGGGTTAGTATCTACCTATACCGTAGAATTTATATAACTTATAGTAGTACTTTAGTAGGACGACTACGTACTAATTCCGTACTATAATAATAGACTAAAATCGTACGTTAAGGACGAATTAGTACGGATTAATAGACCGGAAACCCTAGAGAAACTTATCGACTTCGCTATACGAGTTAATAACCGATACTACGATCGATAAAACTAGAAACGGGAAATCGAAGGATAGCGCCGAGGTAGTAGCCGGCTATTATACTACCGTTACGAGAAACGACTAAATAGACCTAGTAGGGATAACGACCCCTATAGACCACGACTAATAGAGCTCGACGTAACGAGACTCCCCGCTAAAGAAGAAAAACGGCGTAAGGATAATAACTTATACTTTAAATATAGAAAAGTAGGATATCGGGCGCGTAAATATAATAATAAGTGTAACTACGTAAAGCTATATGTTAAGGAAGTATCTACTTTACAGGGTAGATGGCCTGTCAACTAGGTAGGAGAGGAAAGCACCAAGTCAGATTGAGATAAAGACTGTTTCTTGAGGAAGATGAATCCCACTTCCTCAAGCATCTGTTTAAATACATCATCTTTTGTGCAAATAGGAATCAAACACGAAGTAAGGGGGAAACCATGGCGAAAGGCCACCGCATGGCCAACGCATGGCACATACTGTGGGTGCGGCCTGTATGCAGCGTGGCTGTCGCGTATCGCGGCCGAGGGGCCACCGACTGACCGCCGGATGGCTACCGCCTTGGCAGAACCCTCGGTCCAAGCATGCCTGAGGCCCTAATATTAGTGTGTGAATAGTCTCATCGAAATATCATAACAATTATCCCCCCTCTAAGGACTCTCTCGCCCTCGAGAGAAATCGACATGTGGAAAATAAACAAACGCCCAAAAGGGGACGTATTAGTCAAAATAGAAACTAAACGTGGCAAACGTGGTAAACGTGTAGGTAAGCAAACAAAGATAGTGCGTTTCCTTTGTTGACGTTGGCAACGCTTCTTCTCCTCCTCACTTCTTATCTTCTCCTTCCTCCACCTCTCTCGCTCGTTGGCTTCCTTCATATTAACGCGCCTCTTCGCCCTCGAATCCCTACCTATATCTTGCCGAAAACCTCACGATGCCGCCGCGAATCCGGCCTCTCCTGGAGAATCCTATTGTTATGGGGATTCTCTGGTGTATGCACTGTCTTCGGACCGCGCTCGCTGAGTGGGACCCTGCCTATAACGACTGGCCCATCCAGATCGAATGCGTCCGCGACGCCAAAGCCTCGGTGATGTGTCGGCAGTGTTCCGCTCGCAATGCTTTATGCTTTCCGGTGGGTTTCGCCAAATCTTCTTAAGAGGATAAGACTAACGGCTGTAGGTTGCAACTGCTATGATAGGAGATGGCCACGACCTGGCTGTTCTTCTTTCGTGGGCGCGTGAAATGTTTTGGGTGGGACAGATAGACCCGAGCGACCCCGGAAGCTTTGTGGACTGGCTATTTCCTGCGGAAGCCCGTCTAATCATCGCTGGATTGATGCAGGACCTGTGTTAAGCTTTTGATGTTTCGGAGTAGGCTCACCGTAAGGAGCACTCGCTGACCGGGAGTAAGACCTAAATCAAGGTATGCTTCCTCTGCTTCCGTTTATACGTATACTAACTAGCGTTTCGGTAGTTAACCTAAGCTAACTACGACGCGCTTCTCTTCGGCCGCTGTACTGCCCTTCCTACTGTCCCTGCCCCCGGTCCCCTTGATACTCCGGAGTAGAAAGCGGACCGTTTTAATAAGCGGCTTCTTCGTCTTTACCCTGGAGACGAGGGATATATTACTTGGACTCTGGCGAAACGGGTCTTTTTCGATGAGGTTTCGAGAGTGGTTCGCGAGGCTTAGGATGACCTAGACTCCGATGATGATGACAATGCCTCTATAGGTGGAGATGAGGTAGCCGCCCTCATAATGGAGGACTTCCCCGTCTTTATAGAGACTGAGATCTAGGTGCTGTTACCCTTCCACTGCGGATTCTGCTAGATTTCTTTGTTGTTTCCTCGTTCTTTCGGGGGCCTATCTGTGCTAGGGTGCTTTCTTTAGCGGGACTCAGCTAGGGCCTACCCTTAAGTCATCTTTCTGTGGGGGATCGCCTTTCGTTTCGCCGCCGCTTCGGCGGGTTTTTGGTAGTGGTCCTTTAAATTGAATAAATTTCTCCCTTTCTTTCTTTCTTTCTTTCTTTCCTCATCTCCCCCTTCTCGCCCGGTCCTTCTCGCCCGGTCCTCCGACTGAGAACTACCAGCGTATCTTAGCGGAGAAAGTTATCACGCTAGGTATGAAGTTCCGGAGAGTGTTTGATGGCGGTTCCCGCTTATGGCTTATCGAGTAATACTTAGTAAGGTCCTACCCTTAAGGCGCTTTATGGCGGAGGGATCGTCTTGTTTTAGCCGTCGTTTCGGTGACCTTTCGCTGCTTATCCTTTAGATTTAATCCGGTATTACCCTTCTTTCTCTTCTAGTAAGACTGTATGGCTTCCGTGGCATTACCCATATCTTCCTAGGGGACCTATTGATTATATTCAGAGGGCTATCCCTTCCACTTCACTAGAAAGTGAGTTTCGCCGTCAATAGTCCTATCTTCGCGAACCTCTTCTATCTCGTATTCATCATCATCCTCGAGATCGGGCATCGGTAGGAATTCGTGGTTAGTCCCGTTTAGTTTCCGCTATGGTTCGAGAAGGGATACATGAAAAACGTTGTGGATTCGGTCATACTGCCGGGGTAAGCTTAGGCGGTAAGCTTATTTACTAATAGCCTGTAGGATTCGGAAGGGTCTAATAAAGCGAGGGGCTAGCTTCTTGCTTCCTTTTAACCTCAGATTCTTAGTTAACAACCCCATAAGATCACCTTTCTTAAACTATATCGGTTAGTAGTCTTTATTGTAGTATTTCGCCATTGATTCGTTGGCTTTTCGCTAGTTCTCCTGTAATCTCTCTCGGAGTGCTTCGAGCTTTTCAATTCGTGCGGATACCGCTGGGACCTCTCCTGAGGCCGATTCGCCCTCGAATCGGTGTTGGAAGCTAGGCGAATAGCCCATCAAAGCTTGGAAAGGGGAGAATTTTGTTGTTGAGTTAACTGCATTATTACAAGCGTATTCTACTAACGTAAGCAGGTTTGGCTACACCGTTTGGCTTTCGCTAGCAAAGCACCGAAGGTAGTGTTCAAGGGTTTGGTTAACCCGCTCCGTTTGGCTATCGGTCTGTGGGTGAAACGCAGTCGAAAGCCTAAGGCGTACTTTGGATATAAAACAAAGACTCGACTAGAATTTACTGGTGAAGACCGGCCCTCGGTCGGAAACAATGCCCTCGGGCGGTCCAAAACGCAACTCCACGGAGTTATGGAATAATTCGGTAAGTTCTGCAGCGGTAATCGTGGTCGATACGGCGAAGAAAAGTGACCATTTCGTGAATCTATCGACGATCACGAGGATTGAATCTACCTCTTTGCCTTGATAGAATGCCGGCGGGAGTCCCGTGACGAAATCCATCGAGAGTTTAGTGAAGGGTCGTGATAGGATCGGTAACGATTGGAGTTCTCCGTAAGGCTTATGCCTTCTTATAGTGACGCCTTAGCACACCTGGTAATCCTGCACGTATTCGGCAACGTCTCGGTCTAGATTCGGCCAGTAATATTTCCTTTTTATCAGTTCAAGGGTACGAGAGCGACTAAAGTAGCCAGTAAGGGGATCATCATGATGAATACTTAACAATCTTGTTCTAAGGTTGCTTCCCGTAGGAATATAGATTCGTTCTTTGAATCTCAGTAGGGCATCGCACCCTACTAACTAGCCCTTAAACCCGTGGTTCGCCTGCGTTACGGCAGTCTTTCGGCGCTGGGTCTCTAGGTCTCCGTCCTAGAGTTGCCCAATAAGCTCCTTAAGCCCTTTACTTAAGTCACATAAGTAGGCTGTCTCGGAGGCACAAGCAGGCTGCACCTATGCTTTAGGGAGGCGGTAACTTCGGCCAAGCTCTTCCCAATCAACCATTTCCGTTGATTCTTCTCTATCTTTATATTTCGTGAAGTATAGAATATCGGAGGTGAGATCTCTCACAGTGTACGACTGGACCCCTACATAGCGGTGATTAGTCGCCGGCTATTCGCCTGCCAATCGCTGGCGTAGCGGCGAAAGTAGGTCAACCTCATAGTCACTCGGTAGCCATCGCCGAGAGGGTCCATCCGCGGGATTCTTTGTTCTAGCGCGGTGTTTTATCACAAAATTGAAAGGTGTAAGAGAAAGACACTATCTAGCTTGCCTGCCGCTAAGCTTTGGCTGCTTCATAAAAGTTTGTAGATTTACATGGTCTGAAAAGACCTCAATTAGATGGGCACTGCCTTCAAGGTAGTGTCGCCAGTGTTTAAACGAATATACGATAGCGAATAGCTCCTGATCCGGTGTCCTATAGAGGATCTCTGCCCTAGAGAACTTCCGCGACCAGAAAGCTACTGGGTGCCACACACCCGCATCGTCTGGCTGGGAAAGGATTCCCGCTATCGCGCCGTTAGACGCATTAGTTTCTAGCCGAATTAGCTTAGATAGGTCAAAGTGTCTTAACAGAGGAGCTGATTGAAAGGCGGAGATTAGGCGGCGAAACGCCAACCTTTCGGCAAGGGTCAGGTTGACCTGTCCCGGTTTCCGCCCATTCTTGCTTCCTTTCAGCAACCCTGTAAGAGGAAGCGCAATCCGAGAGTAATTTCGGATGAATCTGCGATAGAAATTACAAAATCCTAGGAACACCTAGATCTCCCGGTATGTCTTTGGAACCTCCCACGAAGCGATGTCGGAAACCCGCCGAGGATCCATCGAAACACCCTTAGAGGAGATCACAAAGCCAAGGAAATCAACCTGGTCCTGATAGAAGGAGCACTTACTTTGTTTGGTGTATAGACCTGCTGAGCGTAGCCGTTTGAGCACTTAAAGGAGGTGGTCTGTGTGGGAATCCCGGTCTAACGAAAAGACCAAGATATCGTCGAGATAAGCTACCGCAAAGACGTCGAGAACGTCATGAAGCGTTGAATGTATATAGTTCTGAAAGGTTGCTGGTGCGTTGGTGAGGCCGAACGGCATGATAGTGTATTCAAAGTGCCTATATCGCGTGCGGAAGGCTGTTTTCCACTCATCTCCTTCCTTAATGCGAATTCGGTAGTAGGCATCTTGGATATCGATCTTGCTGAAGATCTTTGCACCGGACAGCCGGTCTAAAATCTCCGAAATGAGAGGTAAAGGGTACCGATTCTTAACTGAAACCTTATTGAGTCCCCGGTAATCTACGCAGAGACGTAGGCTTCCGTCAGATTTTGGCACAAAGAGGATTGGAGCCCCCGCTGGGCTTTTGGACTCGCGTATGCGGCCATTCTTGAGGTTTTCGTCGAGGTAACGGCGGAGTTCCGCTAGTTCCTTCTGAGATAAAGGGTAGATAGGGCCGTATGGCACTTGGGTATCGGGTAGTAGGTCAATTGCGTGGTCGTGGTCGTTAGATTGAGGTAAGATATCGTTATGTTGAGATGCAAAGGCGTCGTGAACCTCTGTAAGTTCGGGTGGTAATCGGTTGGGATTCGGCGGCTCTTCGGTGGTGTCTCTATCGATTGGCAGCCATACTTCTTCGGGTAGACGCACTACGGCGAAGACATGTGCATGGTTTCGGGTCTGTTTCGCGAATTTCTTCGCTGGTATGATTTCAACAGAGGGCATTCCAAACCACCAAAGACCGCTTCGTCCGGCAATATATATATCGTGGTCATAGAGGGTTGTCATGGAGAGGAGTACTGGGCTTCCAGATAATCGGGGATCTCGATCAATCGCCACACAGGAGCGAGTGAATCGGCGTGTGATACCCCTCGAATCGGTAACGATTATTGGAATACTCCAAACTCCGTACGTTGGGGTTGAGCGATTATTAATGGCACGGATGATTGGTTCTATCAGTGTTGCTTGTTGGAATTGATGGGTTTTGACAAATTCGAAGCTGACAAGGTCAACCTCAGCTCCACTGTCGAGATCCGCGTGGGTTTCGATATCGTTTCGGATGGTAATCGGTATGTGAAAGCGAGTGTAAGTCCCTACTGGAGGGAGAGACGAAGGTGTAGGGTCTACTCCGTCTCGCTGTCGTTTCCCTGCTGGGCGTTCTGCACCTTAGCCGATTTCCCGTGAGGTCCTTTCGGGCAGTCGGTGGCGTAGTGTCCTTTCTCGCTATATCTATAACAGGTGATGTGATCCAATCCTTCGTCGGAAGTGATTCGGCTATCTCTTACTAGTGTTTCGCGAGTGAATCCGTTGTTGTGGCTAGGGAAACGACCTCTTTGGCGACCGTTTCCTCGGTATCCTCGGCCTCGGTAACCCCCTCTCTGTAGGCGAGGAGGACCATCTTGTTGGGGTTTTTGTGAGGGATCCCTAAAGGTTCTCTTTCGTGAGGGATCCGACGGCCTATCGTCGCGTTTTCGCTTGCGTTCCGCCTCCGATCTGTTTAGTTCCCAGAAGTGATAGGTAACGTCGATCATCTCTTCGCGTGTCTCGGGTAGCTTAAGTACGTGGAGACGGATGGTGTTTTGAAGGCCGAAAGTGAGCTTTGCAAAGAAGGTAAGGGCTCTCTCCTTCTCTGCCGATCGTGGAAAGTGTTGTTCTAGAGTGTCTAGGCGTGCATGGAATTCGCGAGGGTCTTTATCCTAGCCTTGGTGGGTTCTCTCGAGCTGTCCTATAATATCCGATTTAAGGCTAGCCGCATTCTTAATAAGAGTTAGGGTCCAATCCCTAAAGTAAAGCCAGTCTTCCTTGGGGTCTCGTGAGAGAGTCGGTCCCTTTTCTTTAGTGTGTCGGTACTATCTCTGCCGATAGGTTGGGTTTATGTGGCTGATAGCCCTAAGGATCTTCGTGCGATCGTTGTAGTATTTCTTTGGAGCACCCTCGAATGTCTGTTGTAGGTCGAGAAGCCACTCCTTGCGTTTCTGGAGAGTGTAGTCCAGCGTGAAGGTAGGCAGGTTTTTGAGCTTGATCTCTTGGTCTTTTCCAGACGACTGGAAGGGGTCCCGGTAGGGAATCGGCGGGAGATCGTCATGGCTCCGACCCAGAACCTCAGATTTGAGGCGGTCTGCTTGATCCTGCAAGTCCTTCAAACGTTGAAGCTTCTCGATGGTAGCCTGTACAGCTACGAGGCTGTCGTCAAGGTCCGGTGGGGTAGTTTGAGCGTTGTGAAGTGTTTCATCCTCAACAGTGGTTGACTCGTTGAGGTTTCGAGAGATATTCGGTGCCTCTTCGGTAGAGGGAGTAGAGCGAGTCCTGGGTACCATCTCTCCTAGGTAGTTGAAGAAGAAGAAACAGAATTGTTAAGGAAGTATCTACTTTACAGGGTAGATGGCCTGTCAACTAGGTAGGAGAGGAAAGCACCAAGTCAGATTGAGACAAAGACTGTTTCTTGAGGAAGATGAATCCCACTTCCTCAAGCATCTGTTTAAATACATCATCTTTTGTGCAAACAGGAATCAAACACGAAGTAAGGGGGAAACCATAGCGAAAGGCCACCGTATGGCCAACGCATGGCACATACTATAGGTGCGGCCTATATGCAGCGTGGCTGCCGCGTATCGCGGCCGAGGGGCCACCGACTAACCGCCGGATAGCTACCGCCTTGGTAGAACCCTCGGTCCAAGCATGCCTAAGGCCCCAATATCAGTGTGTGAATAGTCTCATCGAAATATCATAACAATTATCCCCCCTCTAAGGACTCTCTCGCCCTCGAGAGAAATCGATATATAGAAACTAAACAAACGCCCAAAAGGGGACGTATTAGTCAAAATAGAAACCAAACGTGGCAAACGTGGTAAACGTGTAGGTAAGCAAACAAAGATAGTGCGTTTCCTTTATTAACGTTAGTAACGCTTCTTTCTCCTCCTCACTTCTCATCCTCTCCTTCCTCCACCTCTCTCGCTCGTTAGCTTCCTTTATATTAACGCGCCTCTTCGCCCTCGAATCCCTACCTACATCTTACCGAAAACCTCACGATGCCGCCGCGAATCCGGCCTCTCCTAGAGAATCCTATTATTATAGGGATTCTCTAGTGTATACACTATCTTCGGACCGCGCTCGCTAAGTAGGACCC